ACCTGTGAATTTCTTCTCTCCTGTAACTGAATTAGATATCTTACAACTTTTCAGCTGGTAAGAGATTGCTTCAAGAAGTTCATGGGTTTTGCTGTGAATCCATTTTATGCTGGAAAACTGTTCTCTTTGTCATGTATAGCCTAGGAAGAGAGAATAACTTTGACAAGTTCTCATCGCTCATAAATTTTGCCTTTTCCTAATATCTCTTCCCCATAGAGTCTTCATGTTCAGTCCTGTTTGCAAGAACAGCAGAAGACTGCTTACTATCTCAGATGAACATACAGAAACTACTCCAGTGAGGACACGATAGGTTCCTATTCTCTTGGGATATGGTACAAACCATACCTTGCAGCATGACCCATTACGCTGAGGTGACCATTTTGAGCTGTCCAGGTATCTCTGCAGAGAGCTATAGTGTTCTCCATAGGGAAACCTCTTTGTTTCATTAGAAATCCAATATAACTAAATGACACCTACGTTATCTTGAAAAGCCCTAAAAGATGCACAGCTTCCTTTGAGGAAAAGAACATACAAATCAAAGGCTTGGCTTTGCTTCAGTGGAAACTGGAGCACATCCATTTCTACTGAAATCCATGCAAAACTTCTATAAATAGAATAATGATCCTATGGGGGCTCAAAATCTTGTTTCCCATTTTCTGTTGCTCCTTTTCAGTCGCTGATTTGAATACAGTTTCCAAAGACTAATTTTTAAGACATGTAAAATTCAGAGAAGTGGGAGATGAGTTTAATAAAATCCATATGCAGGCAGAGAAAAGTATCCTATTCAAAGCTCTTCCAGAAGAACAAGGCAGGGAAAAGACAAGAATGAAGCTCAAACTCCCAACAACAAAAAATTATAAATGCCTCACCACATACCCCCCAGCTCTGTCACATAGGGATGGAAGTATCTCCTTGATATTTCCTTTTCCTCTGAGATGATAGAGACAGCTAATTAAGACTCTCTTGACTTTGGTCATTTGCTGTGAACGGCATCATAACATTACTTTACAATAGTTTGTGTCAGACAAATTTTCTCATGTTACCAGAAAAGAACAGTATGAACACACAGTCATTTTCACCTAGACCCAAGCTGATTTATGCGACTGTCTTCACAGTCTCAGGTTACGTACTATACTGGTGCCCGCCAGCAGTGTAATACTTGACTGTCTCACTGTCAGCATTTCCATCATAAATTTCTGTTTTCAGAGGCTTATGACTTTGTTGTAAAATGTCGCTTGGGGGGTGAATCTTGCAAGGTCGTTTTAAGTTACAAGACAGCAAACAAAATAAAAACGTTAGTGGTTTTCAACTCCTTCTTTGCACTTTATCATTTAAAAGGACCCATAAAATACTTGTTCCACTGTTCAACTGAGTGTGGTACACGTATGTATGGTATTACTAATATTACTATCTCTATATGGAGGATACTTAAATAATAGTTGAATAGTATTTTACTGTGGGGTTATAAAATGCAATTTTTCTTTCATTGATTCAGTGGTATCAGTAGGTCCCTTCCCAAGGTATATCCCATGTCATTCTTCTGACTGAAAGTAGGAGAGATCCTCATAATATCTAAAGCTGCACTACTGTCCCAGATGATGTATTTGTTCAAGCTAAATTTATAGCACCTTTTCAACTGCCTTCAATTAAACTCTTGAATAAGGAAGAAAAAAGCATTTCCCCTCTTCACAAATACATCCTTAAACTGCCTGGATATTCTTTATCCCCTGGTGCTGCTGCCACTTCTCTGCCTCCAAAGTAGCATCATCACTGATCCTCAAATTTCTTGTAAATGTTCCCTCTTTCATTTAGCAAAAGAGCACTGCTGCTTTGGCTCCACTACCATTGTGTCATTTCTTTATTTTCTCCCACCTTAACACCTGGAACTCCCTTTATGGGCTTGTGGAAAGCCAGTTTTTCCAACACATAGAGCTACCTCTTTATAAGTGACAATATATCTTCAGGATGAAGTTAAATATTTCCCTCCATGCTCTCAGTACCTTCTATCCAGTAATTCTACCCTCACTGAAAGATCTTCTTACTTACTACCTCTGAACTGCTTTTTATTCACACTACCAACAATATTGCTAATGTCCTGTTTGCAAACCTCAAATCATAAGAGATCAGCTTTAAAATTATACCTTGAAAAAAGTCTTCAAATCCAGCTTCTGTGGCCTTTTTCCCTTCACGTTTTTTGAGGATTAAGGACTATGCTTCCATTACACTTACACTTTTTAAATGAAAGGTCAGATACTGAAGTCATTCGATGACTCCCAGCAGCAGGGCTTTAAGAGATACAGCTATGATTTGAAGTCCTGTGATGAAATCCTGTGTGAAGGCAACACTGCATCATTCCCTCTTTCAACATGCAATCTTCCGACAAACTGAACTCAAAGATTCCCATCTGCAACAACTCCTCTTTCCAATTCTTTGCTTCTAGTAAGTGTTCTTCCGTCTCCTCCTCCTAACTTCTCTCTCTGCTATATGATAGGTTGTGTTTAGTCCCAGCTTCTGCTTGCTGGTGTCAGCAGAAACCCCCTACTGCCAAATGACAACAGCAACGTGAGCCCTGCAAAATCCCAACTTCCACAGAAAGCCTGGAGCCAAGTAGCATGGTTTCAAAGTACAAAGCATGGGCCAGGGGCAAGGCAAAGGCAAGTGTCTAGAATTTACAGCAATTCCCTTTCAACTGGATGGACTTCCATGCAGCCGTAGTTGGAGTCTAAAGCTTCCCTTCTCTGGCCCCCTGTTCATAACTCTCCTCTCCAAAAATCTCCTCTGGGGCATATGTAGGGACAGCTGGGTTTAAGCCACAGTGAAATGATCTGGAAAGTTTTGGGAAAATCTTCTTTTGAAAGAAAGGAGAAGAGAGGATAGACTTTCACAGCTTAAAAAAGAGAGCTAGCTTTGTACGTGCATACCTTAAAGGAGGCTGAACCCTAATGTGGCCAGATATTAGTCAGATAATTTTGATACAAGAACATTTTAAGTTACCTGGGTTATAAATGATCAAGTAGTCACCTGCAGTACTATAAAACTGCTAATCTTACCCATTTATAAGAAAACGCTGACAATAGCTATCTACCGTAAGTATTTACTCCTGACTGCTTTTTGAACATAATTTGAAATTGACTATTCACATAATTGGGCAGCATAAAAGAGTGATTTTAAACCATTATAGCACTTAATTAGTAACTTTAGAACATCACATTTCAAAATCGCTGGATGCTGCATCATTTTAGTGTACTCAAAGTTAGCTTTTTGTCCTGTGCTTCTGTGAGACTTCTTAAGAGCTATGCTAAGCAGCATGCCACATTCCACAAGCAGGCAAGATATGCTATGATAAAAGGCCCCAGGTCAGGAGGTGTAATAGCCAGAACCACATGGGTTGCTGATCTGAACTTCTGGAATCTTACCTGAACTGAAATACAGCTGTCATCCCCTACCTGTACTGTACTCAGCAGTTATCATGCTGCACGTGCAGTAGAACAAAACCCTCATGACCACAAGCAAAGCTGAGCAACTTAATCTGTTTTGATTGACACGCAGAAGAAAGATACAAAACAGCACTTTAAACAAAAAGAGGGTAAGGTGTTCATGTAATTAAGTCTTCTATTGATAATTCTGCAAGGACAAGAATCAGCATTCAACTATGGTTCTGAATCCCTGGATTAACCTTGGCCTCATTCAAGTCAATGAGAGATCTGCTGTGTACTCTGATGGAGCAAAGGTTTCGCCCCTCTCTTGTCTGCATAGTGAATTACACAACCTTCATGTTAGATCATTAAAGGTTTCTTGAAATACATTACATAATTAAATACATTTCCACAAACAAAGTCAATCTTTTAAAATGCAAGTTTATCCATGAGTTAGCCTAATGTATATTTAGCGAGCTAGAAAAATTCTTCTTTGCAAGAATGCTTAAGGAACAGTGTGTCATCTTTCAGCATAAATGTTTTGGCTTTTTCCATTTGAATTCAGACAACAATATATTAACATTCTTTGTGCATGATGATCTTTCACATCATGCACAAGGACAAAGGTAACACTACAATGTCAACTACCTTGCAAGCTACCTTTTTATCTTAGAGTACCCCATTTCACTCAGTGCTGGTATGGCAGTAACACAAGTGTCATGAGATACCAAGATATGGTGCATTTCAAAGAAATTTTCAAGATAGCTAAACAATTTTGTCTTCTTTATGAAGCACAATGTTATGAATATTATCTAGAAACAATGATTTGGGATTTTTTTTGTCCTCTTTTAGAGGCAGACCGATTTACAACACAGTTACAAATTTCTCTTATTTATTTTTTCAATACCTTTCTATATATATATATACCTCTCTATTCCTTGGCTTTTCAAAAGAAAATTATGTGATTTAAGAATGTTTCAAGCTGAAGATAATCTATGTGAATATTCCTTGAGAGTAAACATGAGAACTTGCATACCTGTACTGACAACGAAGTACATGGTAATAATATGTTGCCCATTCTGTCTGAAGTATCTGACTACTCTGACATGGCTTGTTATATGCAAATATTGCTTCTTAAGTTCTCACAGGCTTGAGTTCCCTGCAGCTCAAACCATGTTTCTTCAATTATAGTTCCTCCCCTTTGCTCTACCAACTGCTAAATTTACTTTTTCCTGTTGCAAAATCTTCCCTAAACATTTTAACAGTTTCTTCACCAAGTGTGTGCTTTTGGCTGCGGGACGTTTATTATTATCCAGGTTTGATACTGCATGGATAGCTCACTATTCCTAGAGATTTTTATTTACATATACATGTATTTAATGAAGTATTTTTTATAGCAACAAAATGAACAACCTTCTGCATTAGTATTCTTCAGCTCGGTGGAAAGAACAGACACACAATCTGATAAAGGTGCTGCTCTGCATTTTCCATAGCTATTACACTTCACAGCTACAGAATAAACAGCATTTGCAAACGACCAAAGCCAAAAAATGTGCATGAATCAAAAAAGAGTAAAGGTTTCACCTGGCAAAGCCGACTCCTCTGCTGACTCCATTAGCATCTCTTAATATTCTGGTGGAAATTACATGTCCAAAGGGTTTCAGCATATTCTCCAGTTCCTGCTCATCCATGGAAACAGGTAAATTTGAGATGTATAGATTTGTGGGATCTTGCTCTTGTTGCTATGACAAAATAAAAGAAATATCCTCAGTTAGGCTTAGCACATTAGAAAAGCTTATGGCTCATACAACGAGGGCTACTCAAAATAGGACCAAGCCAAGAATTTATAGCTGCATTAGAAGCAAAGCGGGGCAATCTGCTCATTATGACAAGATTCTTGCCAAATTTCTGCAAACTCTCATGCATGTGCTTAATTCTGTGCGTGACTGCTCTAACTGAATTCAGTGACAATAGTCATTTATAGAAAATTACTCTCATGCACAAGTGCTCTTGGGTTTGTGTCCTAATTTAGCAAACAGATTGTGAAGAAAACATGATTTCCACAAATACTCTCACTGTTAAAATAAATAAATAAATAAGTGAAACTCAACACGTTTTAGGCAGATGTGTTTTCCAGCCTGCAGACTTCCCATTCAACCTGTGCTATTATGAGCAAGGTTGGTTGACAACACAGAACACTTTCCATACTATCTTGTCCTCTGTTTTCCCTTTCAGAAGAGTCTTGGTTGAAAATGTGCAAAAAGACCTAATTGGGGAGGGGAGTTCTGCAGTTCAATCTAATGGCCTGGTGAGACAGGTTACATGTTTATTCTCAGACTGAATTAAAATATCTTATAAAATAAAGACTGTGGTATGAATAATTGAGAAAACACATTTGAAGACATCTTTCTCACTCTGCTTTAGAGTTTGAGGGTAAATTTTCAATTTTGGCCATCATTCAAACTTCTATTCTTGCTTGTCAAAACTACTGCAAAGAAACATGAGGAATCATAGATGCCATATGCAAAATAAGTGTATTAAAGCAGTAAATAAAAAACCTGTCTACAGACAACCACGTCTTGATTACACTAAATCAATTTCGTTAAGCTCTTTCAAATTTTCATGGTTCCATTTTCATTGATAGAAACTTTACATAATATTTGATCACCTGTTAGTACAAGCCTGATTTGGGTCAGGCATGGCTACATAATTTTACCTAGTGCTTAATAACCAAAAATGTAAGATACAATCTTTATGCTGTGCAGTAAGCCAGACAATATCTTATCAGCAAAGTCTTCTGGGACAGATTTTTTTTTATTTTTCTTAATTACACATTTTAATGGGCAGAATTAATTTGTATTTTTACAACACTGAGATTTTTATGACAATGGTATTATCTTTTTTTTTTGCTATGAGGTATCCTAAAAGATAATATAAATATATAAAAGATATATCCTAAGATATATACAAATAAAAGATATATCCTATGATATATCTTGCCAAACACAAAGAATCACACATGCTGTTTCTAGAAGATGTATGAACACAGGACAGAATCAAGATATCTGCTCCATCACTGCCTTGCACATTCAAGACCTTGAAAAGGGAAGCAGAAATTGTTTCAGGCTGTGATTCACACGCTCCATCTTTGCAGGGACGAGAATGACTAAGCAAAGCCTAGCATGGCTAAACACCACAATCAAAAGCCAAAGAAAGTTTTTAGCTTCCCTTACCCCAGGCTCAAGTGAAATTTTGGATGAGAAGACCCTTTGGGATGAGAAGAAAAGCTGAAAATGGATATTCCAAAGGGTCCAAAACCAGGAGACATATAGGACTGTTTTACTGGTTAATTTGTATTCTGACCTAATGTTGTGGTTTGAGGCTTGGAATGGGGTCGTGACCTTCCAGCAACTGGGAGGACCCCGGGTGGGGGTGAAACCATTGTATTCCCTCCCCTTCCCACACACACTCTGATAAGAGGCAGGGAGTGGTTTCTTATTTCACTCCTGCCTTGGAGCTCGGAGAGGAAAGTTGTCCTTTCACTCCGTGGGACCCTGCAACCATTTCTGAGGGTTTTGTATATTTTAATTTTTGTACTTTTCCCCAAATCTTTGTATATATTATTTTCCTTACCTCCCTTTTCCGTTTTCTGTTCTTTGTTAAACAATATACTTCATTTTTTTTCCAAAGTGTCTCTCTCTCTCTCTCGGGGGGGGAGAGGCGAGTACACAGTTCTGTTCCGTGTGGGTCCTGCCCTGAACCCCTTTTTACATGGAACAAGGACACCTAAGAGCTGCGAACGCTGCCTTTGGACACTGCTTAATGCCTGCTGCATTCTAGCTTTGCATCTCCAGATCCAGTACCCCACAACACATTACCATGCAGGTTGAACTCCCCACTATCTTAGAGAACAGAAATAAAAGCACAATGTAGGTGTATTTTCAAGCTGCTGTTCATAAAAACATACCCAGTTATTACCATGCCTTATAGTAAGGGGTAGAGGAGAGCAAAACCACACACTCACGAACAGTGAATTTAGTGCAAATTGAACTGAAGTTAAAACCCCCAAATCTAGAACATTCTTTCCCTTTCCAGTAAACTTTCCCTGCAGCCATCTTCCTTTCTTTCACTTCACTTTGCATTCATACAGATCCAAAAGTAGTTTCTCTCCAATAACCACAGGACATTAGTGAGGGGTCAGAACTGGTACAGTATTGACAGTGCAGGGAAAATCATGCACAGTCCTGGAGGGAAGTAGATAAGAAAAGAGAGGAACACGAGCTTCAGATGACACTTTTTGCTTTGGGAAAAACAAACACACACATACTCAGAACATTTTTTCCTTCTTTAATTTTTCCACATTTTGCTCCTTTCCTATGCATAAACTATTTAAGTTTTGTTGCTTGCTACCTATCCCACCCCCACCACTCCCACCACAGAAGAAAAGGAAGGCTGTAGGAGATAGGAAGCATCTTCGTTGTTACGAAGTTCTTTGAAAATGTGAGCAATAGAAGCGGTTAAAGCCGAGGCATTACAGAAGCAAATCAAAGCAGAAAGGTTTGCAATTCCAGTAGGCACAGTTTTTCAGAAATAAACACATTATCATGCAAACCTCTGTCCCTGGATTGGTTAAGGGCTCTGATCACTCAAGCAATCAGAGCTCAGGGACTGAGGTCCCTTGTCAATATTTAGAAAAAACATGCAGATGAAATCCCCCTGTCCAAAGAATAGACTAATATGAAAAAAATCCAGAGTTATGCATCAGTAACTGCACAACAGCTTTTGCTTTCACTGAAGCAATTCGGTCCCGCAGAATATTAGAATGAGAACTTTTCTTTTGACTACTCAGTTTTCAAGCTGAGGCAAATAAAAATAAATAAAAACCAATGCCAATGTGTCTCACTTCTGGAGTACAAACACATAAGTCTTTTAATTGTGTTAGAGATTAAATGCCATTGTCTTAAATATTAGTGGAAAGTTTAGCTACACTCTGAGGATGAATGAAAGACTAGGAGACCACAGTCACTCTCTCAAATGGATATACTAAGCCTATCTGTTACCAGCATGATAAACAAGAGCTGCAAGCAGAGAGAGACAGATGAGGCCACTCATGCTACCTCCACAACTCAATAGTGTTTTCTAAGGAAGAAAAAAATTTTCACGTATTTTTCCTTCTTACATAAATACAACATTTAGAGAAATACTCCTTTCCTTTACAGAGAAATATCACCTCACAGAAGCCATATCTCACACCACAAAGTGAACCAAGATGAAACGCCTCCCCAGGGGTGCATCCTGCATGTGGCTGAGCAGGCGTTACAGGAGCGGTGCAGAGCCCAGCAGCCCTGCCACTCTGCAGCCAGAGCCCACAGCCACCTGCCCTCACAAGCCCCTGTTGCTCAGGCCCTTGTCCCTCATGATCTTTTTCAGTTGTGCAGAGATCCCCTCTGCAGCATGGAGGTGCTGACACATGCTGCTTGTGTTGCCTGAGCCTTTCCATGGCAGATTGCCCAGGCTCCTGCGTGACATACTCGCCTCCCCAGCCCAGTGTTAACTGCTGAGCTTTCCAGGGTGAAAGGCAGGCGTCCTACTGTTCAAATTGTGCCTAGCTGTTGACAAGATGAGCCTAACGGGAACCACAAGTCCAAGCACCCCACAAACTACTAGCCTTTCATAAACCTAACTAGTTGACAGTCAGATTTCTGCCTTCAGTGAAGGATCACATCCCAAGATTGCAGAACTGGTGGCAATAGAAGCATCTGGAACTACACATTGTGTCCCAGGCTCCCTCTGGTTCATATAACTCTATCGCTTTTCACTAGGCATTAAAAATGCTACTTCCCATCTCAGGATGCTAAAATCCCATTTATTATTGTGTCCATTCCCAAACTGAATTGAACTAACTGACCAGTCATCAGTGAGAGAGCTGAAAGTTATTTGTGTGGTACTCACAGTCACTTCAGAACTGTTGTTTTCCTGTTATGCACCCAATATTTTGGACAGGAACAGAAGGGGTGAGGCAGCAGAAAGCCTCACGCTCCCCACAAACACCTCCAACAGCATCATGCCTCAGCCACCCACAGCTACTGACGCAGAGCCACCACAGCAGGGCCACCAGACCAGCAGAGCCCCCACTGCCACCTGGGCTTTGTGGTCCCTGTCTCGCATTCCCCCTCCTGCCCACACCCAAGACCACGCCAGTCTTGTCCCACACCACAGGGAAATGACACAACTGTTGACACAGTCTTCCCAAAGCACAGTGGCTAGTCAGGTTTAATGACGCCCATGTGAAAAGGGCCTCCCCAGGGCGACCAGGGCTGTCCTTTGCAGCTGGCTGCCACCTGGGAGGCTCAGAGGATGGGGCTGCTGGGAGCAGCAGAGGGCTTACCACCATGCAACACCGTAGCTCCTCTGCCTTTCCAACACCCCATCTGCCAAACCTGGCTAACTAATGGGTAGAAGACCAGGCCAAGTTGCTGCTTCTCGAAGGGAGTGGAAAGGCAGCTGTGGCGCCTCCTGTGTGTGCCAGCTGCAAAACCATCATGCTCAGGGCATGCAAACTTACAAGTGCAGTCTCAAGGCACCCTCACAAGCCTGCTCCTGGCTGTCCTTGCTGAAGTTTATTTTACCCAAGAACTCTCATTTCACAACCAAGGAGGCTCACACCTTCCAAGTACAGCTTGCACTTGCACGGCAGCCCCAGAGAAACTGGAGTGAGCCTATCCAGTCATCCCCAACCCTC